TGTGACAGGCTCCAAACTAAGACCTGTAAAAGCAGAACTGCATCAAATTCTCACAAAAAGCCCCCTGAGGTAGGGATAAACCAAGGGTCAGGAAAGCACAGGGAGGCCCAGGTCACTCCCTCCCTTGACTTCTCATCGCCCTCAGAATAACACTTGGACCTCTCCCCAGCTGAGGCCCTGCCCAGTCTGTCCTTGTTACCTCTCCCATGTGACCCATTGTCAGTACCTCCATGCAGGTCACCCCCCTCTGCCTGCAACTTGTCAGGTACTGTTGGAGTCAGGGTTTTTTCCCCCTCCAATCAATACAGCCAAGGGGAGACAGAGGTTCCCACTGGGCTATTACAGATCAGGACTCATCACCCCAAAATACGACTATAGGAGACCGTAATAGGCTAAGTTCACCTCTTTGGTATATTGATCATTTTGAGTTGGTTATTTTGAGAAACTGCAAATATAGGAGTCACCCTAAAAAAACTGCCTGTCTATAAAAGAAACATATCTATAAAGGCGATTTTCTTTCTTTTTTTTTTTGAGACAGAGTCTCACTATGTCGCCCTTGGTAGAGTGCCATGGCATTACAACTTATAGCAACCTCAAACTCTGGGGCTTAAGTGATTCTCTTGCCTCAGCCTCCCAAGCAGCTGGGACTACAGGCACCCGACACAATGCCCAGCTATTTTTTTGTTGTAGTTGTCGTTGTTGTTTAGCAGGCTCGGCCAGTTTCGAACCCGCCAGCCCTGGTGTATGTGGCTGGTGCCACTGAGCTACGGGTGCTGAGCCTATAAAGGCAATTTTCATTAGTAATATAGGTATTCCAGGAACAGAGTTGCTCTAAGACAACTTTATCACCTGAAAGATTTTATTAGCAGGACAAGGCAACCTTTGTTCACCAGGCATTTCTGTACCTCAATGTCCCATAAAGTGTCTCCATCCCCCTGCCTCCCCCAAACCCCAAGCACCAAGTTCTTTCTGAAGCCCAGGGTGATATACAAACCTTAATCATCTGGCTGTTTGAGTCTCATAATTTTGTGGGCCTCCTGTGTTTATGGACGTGATTTAAATTGTTTTTGTCCTGTTAATCCATCTTACATCAATTTAATTTGCAGACCAGCCAAAGAAACTAGAAGGACAGAGGGAAGCAACATTTTTTTCTTTCTCCTATGGGGCCAAGGAGGCAAGAGGAGGGTGGTGGGTTTTGGAGAAAGGATCCTCCATATAAAAAGGACTCAAGGGCCAGGCGCGGTGGTTTACACCCATAATTCTAGCACTTTGGGAGGCCTAAGTAGGAGGCTTACTTAAGGCCAGAAGTTTGAGATCAGCCTCGGTAACATAGTGAGACCCTGTTTCTTTCTTTCTTTCTTTCTTTTTTTTTTTAGAGACAGAATCTCACTTTGTCGCCCTTGGTAGAGTACTGTAGCATCACAGCTCACAGCAACCTCCAGCTCATGGGCTTAGGTGATTCTCTTGCCTCAGCCTCCTGGGTAGATGGGACTACAGGTGCCCACCACAATGCCTAGCTATTTTTTTGTTGTTGCAGTTTGGCCGGGGCTGGGTTTGAATCCCCCCACCCTACTCACCAAGCCACAGGCACCGCCCATGTATTTTCTACAAAAAATACAAAAATTAACCAGATGTGGTGGTGTGTGCCTGTAATCCAATCTACTTGGGAGGCTGAGGCATGAGAATCACTTGAGCCCAGGAGTTGAGGTTGTCGTGAGCTATGATGATGCCACTGTACTCCAGCCTGCGCAACACAGTGAGATACTGTCTCAAAAACAAAAAAACAAAAAGAATCAAGGATGTGAGCAGGTGAGTTGCTCTCCTGATAAGCCGGCCTGGGTTCACATTCCACCCTCACATTGAGGACAAGGTGCTTCAACTAGCAGAGCCTCAGTTTCCCTATTATAAGTGGCAATGTCATCCCCTGTTAGGATGGGGATTTTGTACACACCAGAAGTCGACATAGGTCATGGTTCAAATCCCAGCATCTGCCCCCCTTTGCTGCGTGACCACCCACAAGTTTCCCAACCTCTCTGCACATCAGAACAAAGGCCCCTGCTTTTGAGGCAGGGGAACACTTCGTGCAGAATTCCTCTTGTCATTATTCATTCAGCGCACACTCTCACCAGTTGCCACCAGCCAAGCACCAGATCACTCACTGAAGATAGAAAACTCTGAGACCATGGTGAACAGTCTGATCTCACAAAAGGACACACAGAAAATGACATATTTCAACTGCTTTATTTGCTTTCTGGGGGGTGAAGTTTGGGGTCTCTGGGGCCCAGACCCAAGCAGAGTCCGGCAGACCCTTCTCTGCCTGGGGATCCCAGATACAGGGGTTTCAGTCAAGGCACTGGCCAGAGTTCTGAGGGTCAGGGAAAAGCCATGCTGAGGCTGGAGGGGCTGAGCCCTCCTTTGGGGACAGAAAACACAGTTACCTTGAGTAGAAAGAGATTTTCTCCTAGAGCGAAATTTAGGACAAGATAAAAATCCTGAGTTATAAGGGGAAGTCCCCACAAGAAGCCAGGTACTCCCTGGGCAAGCAGAAAGTGAACCCCACTTCCTAAGGCCCAGATGAGGCCTTTTTGGTCTCCAGCCAGAGCTGGGACACAGCAGGCCTTGGCCAGCAGACAGCCTGATTCAAAACTGGCTCCCTGGGGGATTTCCTTAAGACAAAATGTCAGGACACAAAAGCCCTGGGCCCCAGATCACACTTCTGCAAGTAGCTGGGTTGATTGGGCCTGGGTAGTCAGGAGCCATGGCCTCCTTCTGGTGGCTGATTCCTGTCCCTTTCTTTGTGCTTCATGAGTATTAAAGAGGCAGGCACTTCTGTGGGTCTCCAGGGAGAGACTAGGGGAAAGGATTTGGGGGAGGAGGAGCAGTTTGGGGTTTGATGCTTAGCTTGTGACAACTGTCCCTGAAACCAGGGGCATGCTTGCCTACTCCAAATGCCACTCTGCTAAGAGTCTAAGTGGAACTCTGGCCTCAACCTGCCTCCTCGCTGCAATAATGCTCCCAGCCAGCAGCCCCAGGCCCTTAAGAGGCACTTGTGCCTGGTGAAGAGAAAGAATATCTTGGATATAAAAACAAAGCCCTTTTCTGCCCCCTGTGCCCTAAGATTTGTGGCTACGCAGGGTAACATGGCAAAGAGGTACCCTGTTTCTGCCTCTATGGCCACTGGCTGCAGGATCACAAGAGCTTCCAGAAGGTAGAGGCTGGAACCATGGGGAAGAATGGGGCTTTGTCCTGCCATCCTGGAAAGGGACTTCTGGTTCAGACACTCGAAGGGGAGGGGCGGTCAAAGGTCAACAGTCTAGACAGTGGCAGCCAACAAGGGGCCGGAAAGAGGGGCAGATTTATACAAGCCATTGCCTGCATCCCCCTCCACGCCTGGTCACCCCTGGGAACACAGCATGTGGGGTGTATGTACACCAGCTGGTCTCGCTCCCCGGCAGAAACCTTAAGAAAAAAGGCATCTTGAATCTCCTTTTCCAGACTTGTCTCCCCTCAGCCCCATAGTGGATCCCTTCTGTTCTAGATGTTTCCATGCCAGGAAAGAGCAGAGCAGAGGATTATGTTCCTTACTGAAACTTCTGCCATCTGGGACATTTTCCTCCAAAGATCTGGTTCTGATGGGAAAACCTCAACATCAGCCCCTCTGTCCTCTGCCCCATTCCAGCCCAGACCTGCCCCTGTAAGCAGGGCCTTGGGGGTCTTGGCTGTTCTGCCCCTTGATGGAGCAGATGCCCTCTGTGCCACTTAGCTCAGCCTACCAACCTCCAATCTCTGCCTTTCTTTCCTTTCTCCTCTGTCTTCTTTCTTTTTTAAGCTCCATTCTCATGCACATGCCACTGACCTTCTTTTTTTTTTTTGGCAGTTTTGGCTGGGGCTGGCCTTGAACCCCCGGTATATGGGGCCAGCACCCTACTCCTTGAGCCACAGGCACCACCCCGCCACTGACCTTCTTTTTGGTAGGGAGAGGGACACTGAGGAGCAGAGGGAAGGTATATAACAGTGGTTCTCAACCTTCCTAATGCCACAATCCTTTAATACAGTTCCTCATGTTGTGGTGACACCCAACCATAAAATTATTTTCCTTGCTACTTCATAACTGTACTTTTGCTAGTTATGAATCATAATGTAAATATCTGATATGCAGGATGGTCATAGGCGACCCCTGGGAAAGGGTCGTTCGACCCTCAAAGGGATTGCAACCCACAAGTTGAGAAGTGCTGGTATAAAGGAATAAAGGTGCACAAACTCTGGCATCTTAAACACAATGCCATCACCTGGCTGGTCAGGACACCAGATGGCCCAGTCACTGTCCCTGCACCCTGGTTCAGCACCTTCCATGGGCTCATCAGGGAAAGCATCCCACCCCCTCATGATTTCTTACCTTTCCCACCAAGCCTCCCACTATGTCCCTCAGCCTGTCCTTCCATCACTCCACCTCTCTCCCTGACATCTGCCAAGTGCTGCCCACTTCACAGACCATCCTCTGCTGCTCACTCCTCTCCTGGCTCTGAAAATTAGAGAGAGAGGGAATGGGACTTGGTCTCCCCTTCTCCTTTAAATGAGGACATTTTAAGTCCAGACTCACCAAAGACACACAGAAATGCCATGGAGTGCACAAGTGAGTTCTACCAAAAGAAAAAGAATTTTTAAAAACTTAACAAACAGAGGATGGCACCCGTAGCTCAGTGAGGTGGGCGCTGGCCACATACACCTAGGCTGGTGGTTTTGAACCTGGCCCAGGCCAGCTAAACAACAATGACAACTGCAACAACAACAACAATGCCATCGGGCGTTGTGGTGGGTGCCCGTAGTCCCAGCTACTTAGGAGGCTGGGGCAAGAGAATTGCGTTAGCCCAAGAGTTCGAGGTTGCTGTGAGCTGTGACACCACGGCATTCTACCCAGGGTGACAGAGTGAGACTCTATCTCAAAAAAAAAAAAAAAATTAACAAAGAGAAAATAAAAATGAGCCCAACGTTGTGCATGATGAAGGAGGGCAAGATTTTAGTTCAGCTTTATGAGGAAATGCTAAACCATCACAGGAAAATGAAGATGACACACACGCATTTCACAATTGGACAAGTTCTGTCTCTACAGAGCTAAGTCACGCAATGCTTTAAATACAGAGGTGAAGTGAGAACCCAAGAAAGATGAAAATGTGGAGTCTGGGGCAGGTGCTGAGCCTTAGCTGAGCCTGACCGGACCTGGCTAACTCCCAGCCCCTCTTCTTTCCCTATCTTGCCTAGACCCATTTTCTCCTTCAAGTCCCACAGATCAGACATTTGAGGAAAAGAGCTAGATGAAGCCTAAGAGTATTTGACCTGTGGGGAATCCCTGAATCTTGAATTGTTCCCTACATTTAAAAGTGCCACGAATCCAATTCCCAGAAGCTGGCCGGGCAGATGTGGTAACATCCCACACTCCAGATTTCTCAGGAGACCTGGAGCCCAGACTGGGGACATGGAGAGGATGTTTTCAGCAAAAGGATGGGCTGCCTTGGAGGGAACAGCAGAGTCCTGACCATTTTCTGGCAGTCCACATGCATTGCCAGGCACCCATACCAAGTCACCTACCAGCACCCACCTTCCCCTCCAGAGAAAGCCCAGACTCAGAAAATGTATTTCATAGAAACTTGTCAACCCAGTTCCCAAATGGTACAGCAGCTTAGCAAAGTCAGGAGCTAAGTGTTGGAACCGGAAAAAAGGGAGGTGAGTGTTGAAGAAAATGAAACAAAACAAAAAAAATCTCAGCTATTTTTAAAAGAATGAATGTCAGGGAAACACCAGTAGGATCCAACATGGAATCAGATTCCAGCCGTGTCACACTCAGAGGAAGTGGCAAAACCATGTTTCCTCCAAAAAGTAGAAAATGGTTTCTCAAATGTGCATTTTGCTTAGCTGGCTTCACTGTTGCCGTGGCTGTCCTCTCTAATGGGTGTTGCTATCCTGCTAAATTTGGCTATCTCCTGAGGGACGTCACTCTTGTCCTTGCCCGGTAAGTTCAAAGTTGGCAGAGAGAGAATAAAAATATACTCCTGATTCCTGGGCGAGTATCCAAAAACCACTACAGAAAAACCTGTCAGCTTCCGCGTCTCCCTCCTGCTTGAACATGCCCAGACATGCTGAGCTCTGCAAACCCCAGGCCCCAGGCCCACATTTTATGGAGCCCCCTTTAAGGAGAACAAGAAGCTCACCCTCCTCAGCCAGACCTTACAAATCCAGGCCAGATGTTGGGTGGGTTTTCTGTTGCTATGAAATTTTACATATTTAAAACAAAAAGTCAAATGCAGACAAAATCTGCTTTCCCACTGGTGGCCCTGTCTCTGTGGGATAGCTCATAACTTCAGGGTTGAAAGGGTTGAGCACTTTATGGCCACACCTGGGGGAACATCTCACCCAGTGACCTGACCATGAGCTCCATATCCTGAGCAAACAAGGCCCCGAAATAAAGGTGTGGCATCATAAGTCCAATTTTCAGGGCAGGAGGCAGAAGGAGCCACACCCCAAGAGAAGGAAAAGACCCTTTTGTTGTTGACTAAAGCCCGCATTGAACCAAAGAGAATATAAATTACTCCTTGCCCAAACTAGTGCTATTGGTTTTAAAAAGAGAATATGAGAGAAAGAAAAAAGTCAAGCCATATCCCAAGGCGGCCTTTTCTGGGGCTGCCGAACTGTTGGAGCATAGCTCAGTTCAAAGGCAAAGACTCTTCATGAGGTTTTTAAATGTGGGAAAACCCAGTCATGGATATAAAGTGAACTCTGGAATTCCTTTATCAACAAATTCAGAAAACCAGATGAACAGGCGGCACTGCAGAGCAAAGACCAAGATTCTCCATGGAAATCTGGACTCGGTGGTTGGCCTCCCCGGCCATAGCAGCTGTGTTCCCAAATGCAAGGGGAAATGGAGAAAAAAATCTTCAGCCACTTCCTTCAAGTCAACCAGAGCTTTTGCAGAGAAGGAAGAGGAGGTGTATACATCAGAATATTTCATCCAAATTGGATCCCCAGCTGACAAGCTTGTTTTTCCTGGCCAGGCCCTGGAGGGTGGACGTCCCTCTTGGGATTGCCAGCAGTATGAGGTCTTGGGAGACAAGAAGGCCCTCAGTGTTTGTGGCAATAGTTGATTTTGCCTTCTGACTGCTCCAGGACATCCAGCATCTCCTCAATGATGGCCCTTAGTGCCCTGCCCAGCTGGTCTGCATTGTATGGTTTGCCCAGTGGGGGCACGTGGACAAAGGCTGATCGGCCATGGCTCTGGTACAGAGAGGTATAGTAGGTGAAGTCACAGAGATACCTAGGCCGCAGGGCATGGGGAGGCGGGAGAGAGACCAAAACAGGGTCAGAGCATCAGTACATGGACCAATAGGCTAGCCTCCATCCAAGCGAAGACCTCCAACCTTACCAGAAACCCACAGAAAGAAATATCACCTCTCCCTCCTTAGGTTGGACAAAAATGAAAATACCCAATAACTCCCAGTGCTATCACACATGTGGGGAAGCGGGCAGAGTGAGATGCTAGTGGGAATGAAAATCGGTTGTCATCCTAGGGAAGGCAATTTGACAGGCTAGTAAAATTATAATTGCCCAGGGCAGTGCCTGTGGGTCAAAAGGGTTGGGTGCTGGTTCCATATGCCAGAGGTGGTGGGTTCAAACCCAGCCCCGGCCAAAAACTGCAAAAAAAAAAAAAAAAAAAAAATTATAATTCCCCAGACTTTACGATTTGGTAGGTCTAGTTTTTAGAATCTACCATCAGGAACCATCTGGATGAGGGCACAAGAAAACACAAATAAGGATGTTCACTGCTGCATCTTTATGTACAAAAGCAGAAAAAGAGAAAGCAACCTAAATGCAGAGTGGCTTAGTATACTCGGGTTTATCTGCACCGTGGACTACTACAAAGCCATTTATAAGGAATATGATAGGTCAGAAGAAAATGAAAAACTGTCCATCATTGGGTAAGTGGGGGAAAAAAGAGAGACAAAGAGAAAATGGAGCATTCTCCAAGATACATGCTGAGTGTGCACAAGTAAAAACCGAGAAGAAATTCTCAGGAAAATGCACACCCTGTGACTCCATCCATGTAAAAGCAAAGCAAAATAAAGCACAATCCTAAACCTACACAACAAGAGATCTCTATGTGTATGGAAGCATGCAGATGAGGAGGAGGGTCCATGGTTCAAGTTTCTGAATTATCAGAGATGTCACTTATAGGGAAAGAGGGAGGGCAAGAGAATTTTTCACAATGAGAATGTATGAGGATACAATCTAGAATTATCTATGTGATTAAAAATTCATAAAAAAGGGGGTGGCGCTTGTGGCTTAGTGAGGAGGGCGCCAGCCCCATATACTGAGGGTGGCAGGTTTGAACCTGGCCCTGGCCAAACGTAACAAAAAAATAGCTGGGCATTGTGGTGGGTGCCTGTAGTCCCAGCTACTTAGGAGGCCGAGGCAAGAGAATCGCCCAAACCCAAGAGCTGGAGATAGCTGTGAGCTGTGATGCCACAGCACTCTACTCAGGGTGACAAAGTGAGACTCTTTCCCTAAGAAAAAAAAAAAGGACTGGCTGGGATAAGTGGCTGAGTCTGTAATCATAATTTGGGAGGCTAAAATTGAAGGATTGCTTGAGACCAGGAGTTCAAGACCAGCCTAGGCAACATAACAGATGCCTATCTCTAAAACAATTTAAAAATTAGCCAGGCATGGTAGCTCATTCCATAATTTCAGCTACTCAGGAAGCTGAGGCCAGAGGATCACTTGAGCCTAGGAGTTGGAGGTTACAGTGAGCTATGATCTCATCACTATACTCCAGCCTGGGTGACAGAGCAAGACCTTGTTACTGATAAAAAATAAAAAGAGACTGATGGTAAATTCAAAAACTCCTTCATTCAGTCAGCTGAATTTACCACTTGCCACCCTTTGAACTGGACAGTGCACACAGTATTAAGAAGTCAAGGTGGGCTCGGCGCCTGTGGCTCAGGTGGCTAAGGCGCCAGCCACATACACCTAAGGTGGCGGGTTTGAATCCAGCCCGGGCCTGCCAAACAACAATGATGGCTGCAACCAAAAAA